AGCCAGCAGTGGCCCGTGAGCAGCACGAGGGATCCCAGTGCCTCCCAGAGCTGCCTGGCCTGCGAGGGGATCGTGCTTAGGCATGGATGGATCTTGGCCAGCTGCTGGGATCCTCTTTCACCTTCATGGGAGCGCCATCTTGGTGTTCCACAGGCCTCGTACAGCATATCAAGGAATTATGGACTTCAGTGTGGTGAAACTAAGGACCTTTATTTAAATGCAGCTTGTATAGCTTCTGGTCCTGGAGACAGCTCCCACCATGCCTAGCAGTACATTAAGCCCAGCAACCCAATCAACCAATCAACTAGATGATCACACGGTGATCACGTGCGAGGCCTTCCAGTGAGTTTCTTGAGCCAAGCATGTGGCTGCAGCCTCCCATCTCTCCTTCTCAGCCCCCCATCTACCAACCAGACATTCTTTGCTACTGACCCTAGGCTAACCTCCACATCTCCCCCTTCCTTATTTAGTTTTTGCAGTGCTATAACAGTCTTTATTTGAGTGGTCGTCACTTGATTGATTGATCGATCAATTAACTGTTGTACACATGATAGGAGACAAGATAGACAAATTAACAACAAGTTTAAAAGAAGGGTTTAAGTGAGTCAGAATATCTGTACTGATTGAGTGGAAATATTTACCCGCGTGGTAATACCGAGGCATGGTGGGGAGACTTGAAAATGCTCTACATCCACAGTTTTCAACAAGAACAACAACAAAAAAAAACTCTTAAATATATTTTTGTTTTTCTGTGTCTTTACTTGTAGTAATCTTAAAGGTTGCATATACCAATAGCAGCTTAAATATATTTTCTTTTCATAGAAAAATATAGTATTTCATATGAAAATGCTCCCTTAAATGAGAAATTTAGTATTTAGAGATATGCCACTTCGAACTATAGAAGACCCAGTTTCAGCCCATGAAATTCTTTTTACAGGAATGGAAAGTTTCTTGTGTGTCTCTCAGTGAGGATTAAGTCTGAATTCCAGACAGGAAATGTGAACATATTGTCTACATGGCTTTTTTTTTCCTTTTGTAAGACAGAATTAATTTTAATTTGAAAAAAACTCACATACATTGGCCAAAAAAAATAGGTAGGACATTTCTTAAACACCTCTTCCCTATACATGTTTTGCTTCCACCAGTAAGTTAAACTTACCAAAGTACAATGGGTTTATAATTTTACAACCTCTCTTTTCCCCATCCCCTTCCAAAATTAAACTGCATCTGAAAGTCACAATTTGACAGTAAAGCATGCATGAACTGATAGATGTATCTGCTTTATAATGGAAGTTCCTTCCCAAAGGGGTAGATGAAGGAAATATTGATATTCCCCACAATGGCCACAGATATGGTGACATTCCACATGGCGCAGTCCTTTTCTAATTTAAATGCACTTCAATCCCAGCAAGAATTAGTGCAGTCTAGGGTGGATGAGGTTGTGTCCTATTGTGTCCGTTAAGCTCTGGAGTTCTCTGGGACAGGAATTCAGCTGCAGATTTGCATAGCGTGAAGAAAAAAAAGTAGCTAAGCTGTACATAGATAGTTGCCATCTATGTGTACGAGTACGAGCCAGTATAATTCCGTAGGGAAATCTCAAATTCATGGACTCCAGCAAAGTACTTAAGCTGGGTATCCAACACTCAGCAACATGAAATAACTTCAGCAATCATTTAATGAAAGCAGAAATATTATGAGAAAAAATCAGAATAAAATGTCTTAAAAATAAGAATACCTTTTCAGCTAAAACTGTATGAGATTTAAACGTTTGCTAAACATTCCTGCCCTCAAGCATCTATTTAATCTTGACTTAGTAGCAAAGTGTTTAAATTAGTAAAGTAGAGATTCGTTAAAGAACTTGTTGCAAATGTAAAATTATGTGTGCCAAATTTAGAATATTGATATTTTTATTCCCTCTGTAAAGAGTGAAACAAATAAGCTTTAATGTGAGTAAGCACAAATAAGCTTTAATGTGAGAGCAGACTTACATGCATGAGTTTGTAACCCGTACTTTCTTGCCCTTTCCTTGTTCCTGTGTGAGAGTGAATGGAATGGGTCTAATTTAGATGTCTAAAATTAAACAGTTGTTTGACATTGACTATGTTGTTACGTTACACTTTGGGGATCGGGAAGAGTAAAACCCTTCCATTAAGATTGCTCCATTCAGAAATAGTTTTCCGTTTTTTTTTTTCTAAGTGCAAAGGGATTTTGATATATATCTTCCATTTAATCAAGAGAACATGTGACATGTTGACTGTGGTGTCCACCTACCAGGTAAAAATGCCAAGGTTTCCTTCTCTGGTGAGGTGTAGTCCCATGACATTACATTTTTTGCCTTCAGAACTTTTCCTCTTTTCGCTGTCCACTCCCTAAAATGTGTACAGTCACATAAATATTTTAATTCCTTTTTAATATCTTAAATTCAAACAGAACAGGTTCCACTTGCGATAACTATGCTTTCAGGAAGAGGGTTACTTAGAGATCAGACACAGGGAGAAATCCATGACAAAAGATGTACAGTCTTTGGGAACTCTACTGGGTCCAGAGTTTTCTTGAGCAGCAGATGAACTGATGCAGAAAAATGAAGTCTTGAAGCACTGGTTGGCTCTGCCTGTATGAAGGAAAAGTGGGGAGCAATAGAAGAAATTTGGTTGCATCTTTGACCATATGCTAAATATTTTCAGATTATTCTTCTCTGCTTGTGAAATTGATACAACTATTTTATATATTAATGTGAACTAACATATCCTAGATATTCTTGTTACAGTTATTGAATATTCCGTGTTCTATACATCCCTGCCATATAGAATGATAGAGTTTATATCTCATAGAGATGAGTTGCAAAATAACACTTGAAAATGACTTTTTAAGCTTAGAAGCTTCCCCCATTTTTTTGTGAGTTGTGTGTTTCATGTTTGTGTATGGTATCAGGCAGTTTAAAGAGGTTTGGGTCATGTCAAATTCTGCCGTGTTTTGTAAATTAAGATCTATGTCTCATACAGACTCAAGAAAGGTCTACCTTCCTTATATATGTCTGCATTGTGGACTTACGTCTGCATTAGTGATCTATTGCAAAAGTAAAATGAATACACTGCCCAACTAGTAGTATTTTGAATCTTTGAACAATTGGCATATTCTGTGGAAAGACTACAGAGAGAACATTAAACAGTCTGCACCCATTTTTTAAAGACCTTTGTTCTACTGAAAATGATGAGAGCTTGAGAATACCAAATTTCCTTAAGTACAGTACATATTTCACTTAGAACACTGAATGCTGTTTTTTGAAAACAAGCCACAATTACAAATTTAAAAAATTGTGAACATTTGAAAATTTGAGACTTACCTAAAAGAGAAAGAATTGCCAGAAACTTGCAAAGATACCAAATATAAAAAAATTACCTTCATCTCTTGTATTTTCTCATAAGGCAGTCAATAAATATAAAGCAAGTTCTCACTTCCATTCGAACTGCTTCCCAGGAACAGTGGCTGTAATGTTTATCTTCTAGAAAGTTGGTGATTCTTCGGAAGTACTTTTTCACACTGAGAGTAGTGCTGTTTAGGACCCCTGTTCGGGAGCTGTTTTTTCCTTTAGATAACTCTTCTACCAAGCATGTCTGCAGTTCTTCAATTTGCTGATGAATTCCATTTTGGAATTTCTCAGTACAGCTTGTATTCCAAGCACTTTTAGGAAGGTTTTTGCTAAATAGATGGAAGATTTGTTGGAGGAGCTCATGTATCATCATTGTGGCATTCCTCTGCCTAACTTTGGTAATCTCCATGGGGAATTTAAAATCAGTTCTTTCTCCAAGACATTGCTGAGGAAAATTTGCACCCATTCCACACAGAAAGTTCATGTTCTGGTAGTTCACTTTGCTTCCTTGGAAAAGGCAGAGTGGATGAGAAATTTTGATATACAGTGCCAGTATAATGTAAACTGTCAGTAACGATCTCTGAACTAGGATGGACATGCTGATGATCCAGTCAGTTTTAATTTCCTTGTCTTCACATAGATCTGTAAGCTTGTATTTTCTTGAATGCCTTTTCTGTGTTCATATGCCTTTCCATGACTCTGAATTTATTTCTCCTGAATGAGACATCAGCTATTACTTATGTTCTATAAACTGAGTTTTTATAAACTGTGATAATGCCAAAGATTTCATGTTGCTTTCATTTTCTCTTCTTGGTTGGAAAGGTTTGCTCATTTACCAAGGGTGGAAAAAGAAAAAAAAAAGGAAACAATCTGAACAATCTGTTCTGGACACCAACAGATTAACAGATTAGAATCTGTTCATCATCTCATATGGTATCTACAACAGGCAGTCTTGCTTTATGCTGAGAAGTTTTTTACTGTTATGCTTAAATCGGAGAAGAGTATGAAAAAAGAATTGTATCCCCAACTGAGAAGAACATACCAGATTGTGTCTTTATAAATAAGGGAATCACCCCACATTCTTTAGCTGATAAGCAGGACACAGGAATATGCAGAGGGGAGGACTGAGTGGAGCCATGGGTGAGTGGGACAAAAAAGCGTATGCCAGGAGTTGGGTGCCCTTACAAAGGAGGGAGCTCCCCATTCTTTGGCAAGGAGGACAAAGGAGTCAGCTGAGCTCAGGTGAGAACAGGAGGAAGGAGACAGGGAGTTTGGTGTAGGCGGGCCAGGAAGTCTGTTACTTCTGAGTACCTTGGCCAAAGGGGAAAAGAAGAGGACATCCCTCACTCAGGAAATTAGGATAAGAGGGGGCTGAGTCCTCCAGCAACGTGAGACACCCCACAAGGGTATGCCTGGAGGACTCTTCCTTTATTCAAATAAAGTTTTAGGACTCCTCTGTCTCCTTTTTGGACATTCGGTTCTTGACAGCGAGATTTTCTGCACACAGCTAACAGATGTTCAGTTGTCCACCCCAAACAAGATATAATTTTACTGATTTAAGAATAAACTTTTTTTTTTTCTTGGACAAATTGTTTTGTTTGGGAACATACTGAAATTTTATTAACAGAAGAACCCTTTGCTGGCATAAGTATATAGACTCCACTAGGGAATTTCCTGCTATTGCTGTGTTGGCAACAAAACAACAACAAGAAGAAAAAAAGTAGATATATACACAGCTTTTAAGACAGAAATCTTTTTGCTCTGGTCTTTGGTAGTTTCCTGCGTAGAGGATCTTTCTTTAGAATCTGGTCACTAAACCAGTCTGGCTAGAGTGTAATGTCTGTTAAGGAAAACATACTTTTATATAAAGAAAAAAACTTCATTCCAATTTAAGACCAAGAAATTCCTCTTGTGAAGACAAACTCCTAAGGAGACAAAATTTACTCTTGTTGATAATAGAATGTCTCATCTTCAGAAACACCCCAGCCAGTTTTATAACAGAATAGATCTCTCCGTTTTTGTTTCTTGTACTTTGGTGAACATTAAGTTTTTGGACCTGCTTGTAGTAGGATTATAGGTTGCCCTCAGTGTGTTAAAGTGTCCAAAACAGTTCCAGCCTTGTCCTGATCCGCTGTCGGGGGAGGTTTCAATACGATGCAAAGAGCGAGATTAAGATGCAAATGGGTTCAAATGCCCTGCAACCTTGTAAGCTCTATTCTAATAATCATGATAGGATAGAGAGAAGAAGTAGGGAAAAAGAAAGATAAGCAAGCAAGTGGGAGAGATTCAGCAAGATTAGATACACCACTACCAGTCCAGCTAGGATTCGCTGTCCCTGTCTCAGTGCAGGTGATGATCTCTTGAAGAATAGTTAAAAAGAAGCCGCTACAAGGGAGGAATATGCAGTCCTTTTATTGTCCCAGTTCAGGAAGAGTCCACCCACTTTCTTCAAGTTTTCTAGTACATGTTGTTCATGTTGTATGTGCTGTGTGCTCTGGTGTTCCTCTTCACCCAACTTGAGTGCAAGCATGGCTTTGTAGGCACTATTGACAATGTCATTGTTCAGCCCTCGTCCTGGTATCACGGTCTTCCCAGGGACAGGATGCTAAGGTAAATGGTGCAGCAACAATTTTGAGACAAACACAATCCAAAGCAGTCTCTCACAAGCCTGCTGTGGCAGCAGTTCTGAGGTACTGCTGCTTAAGTATTTGGGACTAGCAAATCCCATGCACCTAGATGCTGCTGTGTTGCTTTGTCCAAAACCAGACATTTAACTGGATTTTGTAAGGATAATGTTATATACAATATTATAACTATCTTTTAATTCAAAAAGAAGAATTGAATATTAAGAGGAACAGAATTTTCAAGGAGTTTGGTAGAAAGATTTGCTGGGAATCTTTAAGAACTGCTGAACTTATATGTGAAATAAAGTGATTTGCTCGCTGATCTATATGGAGTTTAGAAACCTGGGGGGCATTCCCAATTCAGCTTGTGTAATTGCATAGATATTTCAAAGAGAGTTTGAAAAATGTTGAATGTTTGATGTAAGGTGCAAGGGAACCACAGGATGCTCTTGAGATTAGAAAATATTTTTTAAAATAATGTTAAAACTTGTGAGGACCTTTTTTAAGGCCATAGATTGTAAGATTGTTGTTGGTAAACATTTTCTTTATCAAGCCACATGATAGCATTTCTACAGTGGGACTCCTGCTAGCAAGATTCCTGTAGTGATTCCTTTTGTTTTGCTAATTTTGATGGTAGTGCAGAAGTGACATGGTGCCATTATCATAATTTATTCATCCCTGGAGATTTTCAGAGGGGCTGATTTATGAATTAAAATGTGGGAAGGATGGGTTTGAAATCCTGGAAAGAGACTATGGTGTAATTAACGCATTGATATGTCACAGATATGTCGTTTGTTGAGAAACAAAATTACTTTCACCCCTTTGTTTAGGAAACAAAGTCTGGTCTAAGTTCAATGTATCTGTTTGTATTGTTAGTCACAGATAAGATAGGTACAACTTTTAGTATATAAGGGATCTTAAACTTAATTGGAAGCATTGTTTTTTTATATATATATTTCCATTTTCTTGAAATCTGTGCTCAAGTCCAAGTGATTTAAGCTAATCTGTAATCAGGATGTAGTGTTAAGATCAGAGCATCTACTTGTAATTTAGTATAGTAAAAGATTCTAAATTTTTGATTGACTTAAATAACTTTTAAACCAATCAATAACAAAAGTAAGTATGATTAGAGTCACTCACATGCCACTTAAACATAAAAAAATATAAAAGGTGAACTAAGGAGAGAAGAAATTGGAGGAAACAAGTTAGAGAGAAGACTCTATTGTAACTTTTTGTTCCGCCGACAAGTTGAACTCCTGTAGCAGAGAATTTTCTGTGTGGACATCTGAAACCTGCTTTGTAAATGTTAATTTTGAATAAATCATGCTATTCATGAGCTCGACTACTTGTTTTGAGGGCGATTGGACCTACAGTCAACAGACTGTTCATGAATCCAGTGCTGCCAGAATCGTACCTATAGTAATCACAGTATTAGATATCCCTATTCAGAGATAAGTCCATCTACCCCCAGTCCGTCTAACTTCTGAGGATCAGCTGGAACACAAGGGGATTCATCGTTTATTAAATTTGCCCCTCTTCAAACCACAACAAGGTTGTACTGTTTGTCTGTCTCACAGCTCTGGAAGCACATCAGACACAAAAGGTAATCTTTCTCTTTCTCTCTAAAAAACAAATTAACAATTTTCTCTCTGCTTTTGTTTCCTGAACTAGCTAATCAGCATAGAACTGGTAGTATCACTATTACAGAGAGAAGGCCAGAATAGCGTGACTACTGACATGAGAGCTAGACCTCTTTTTTCATCATAGGCAGCTTTCAGATCACCTAAATGATATTTTTGTTCTTAGAGTATCGCCTCTTACTAATGCCTCATAGTAGGGCCCCATAATAAAACCACTGTATTTTCTTAGCTTTTGGAATGACTGTCAGTTTGATGGCTCTCTTCCTTCAGACTTATTAAAGAGGAGATGTGTCATTAAGAGCATTCATTAAGTCATTAAGTTTCAGAGGCTTGAATCCTGCAGAAAACTGTCAGAGATGATCACAAGATCCTTTCTTATTACGATATCCACAAATCCCATTTTGTGGGAGAGGAAATCATTGACTGTCTTCTAAATCAGCCCAGTTTCTTATTTCTGGTACTTGATGCTAAGACTGTCTGCAGAATGTAGGACAGCAAAACCTTTGAAAACCAACATGATAAAAGGTTAAGAAGATTTCTGCCTCTGGAATGCCTGCTATGTCTTCTATCTTGAGTCCAGATACAAATCAGTCTGTGTTGTATGTTATGTTGTATATGCAATAATATTTTGCTTGACTGTATATGCATGCAGTTTATTTACAGTAATTCTGTTGGGCTACTCTATGTCATCAATAATTACAAATAGTAAAGTTATAGTATTTGTAATCACCTCCCCTTGGATTGATGCAGCTGTCTATCACGGTCTTTTGATTTAACAAGCTGCTGAAAAATCATCTTTATTTTAATGTGGCTATTAGCCTATGAGAAATATCTTGAACTGTACAGCATGAAAGCTGTTGACTAAATATGTAGTTTTGCTCAACTGTAATCAGTTGAAAACTAACTATGCAAGCCAGGTTTGTCTGTAATTTTTAAAAGTTTTGTTAACGAGCTAATGAAACCTGGCTTTTGACCTCCTTCAATTCAATTACCCCAATTCCTCCTTTTCATGTTATATCAAAGGTTTTTAGGAGGTAAGGCAGAGGACACCCTGCAATTAACTTTGCATGTGTGCTTGGTCATCAACTGTTCCCTCAGTGAGACCAGTA